AACCTTCATCTAAAGTACAATAAAAAAATGAAAAAAGGAAAATACAAAGTGTTGGAGAGGATTTGATCACTCTAAGCCTTCAAAATATGTAAATACAAATTTTCTTTTACTTGCATATAATTTTCTAGCATTATAATTTAAAATATTTACTTCTATCCTATTTTTCTTCTTCAGAAAATTTAATTATGTGTTTGAATTATCTATGCGTTTCTCTCATTTTCTGTGGCTTCATGTGAATTTTGGACTCATGACAAATCATGTGTAGGATTTTCCTAGACTAGCAATAACAAACGATTCTACGGAGATGGCATAGAAGGGGTAGGTAGTTTACTCAAGTTTCTTATTTCAAGATCACGCTCTTCTGTAATGTAAAAGCCAGTTTTCTTTTAGAAATGTTAGGTTTGGGATGGTGGGGTTGGGGACTGGTCAGTCTTCTGAGTTTGGTGTTGATACTCAATAAGGCTTACTTTCAACCTTCCCTTTATTACATTTGTTTATTTCTAAACACATTCCCCTCCAAATTGCCTGCCCCACCCTGAGAAGTAGTATTCAAGACCCCATCTGTTCCTGAACACTTTCACAACCCTGTCCTTTTGACTCTTCAGTGTGTTTAACTACTAGGTCTCTGACTATTCTCACTATTTCCCTTCTCAGGGTGAAACCCTCTGTTTCTAGAAGAGAAACAAAGTTGATTTTATCTCTGATCTTCATGAATTAAATCCCCCCAATACACTCCTTTCTTTCACACTAGCCCCACCTATCACCTCTTGAATGGGTACTTGAACAGGCTCTGCTGGACTCAAATTTGACATCTGTAATCACAGTATTCGCTCTTGCATAGTTATGAGCTAAGCTCCTTTTATTGAGCTGCAAGATTTATGGAGAATGAGAAGCAATTCAGATTTAACCCATTGCCGTTGAGTCGATTCCGACTCATAGCGAGCCTATAAAACAGAGCAGAACTGCTCCATGGGGTTTCCAAGGCGCAGCTGATGGATTTGAACTGCCGACCTTTTGGTTAACAGCCAAACTCTTAACCACTGCACCACCTGGCTCCAGGATCACACTGGACCTGTTTTTTACATATATGTACTGAAACTCTGTAGTATCGTTTAGCCACATGAAATCTAGTTAGCCTCATCGACCAACAGATTTAGGCAACTGTAATTATCCAGAGGGAACCGGAAATTCTTGTTCATTAATTTAAATACTTAAAAGTATGCATTTTTAAGCTGAACCTAATATTTTACACATGTATTTTGGTCTTTTTTTTTGGATAATATATAATTTTGGCTTTAATTTTCTTTTCTCAAAACTGGCAAATAAGGTAAAGACATCACAAAAAAAGAAAATTACAGACCAATATCCCTCATGAACATTGACACAAAAATTGATGTAAAAATTGATGGAATACTCCCAAATTCATTCTAGGAAGCCAGCATAACCCTGATACCAAAACCAGGTAAAGATACCACACAAAAAGAAAACTACAAAACAATATCCCTCATGAACATTGACGCAAAAATCCTCAACAAAATTCTAGCCAATCGAATTCAGCAACATATCAAAAAAATAATTCACCATGATCAAGTGGGATTTATACCGGGTATGCAGGGATTGTTCAACATTAGAAAATCAATGTAATCCATCACATAAATAAAACAAAAGACAAGAACCACATGATCTTATCAATCAATGTACAAAAGCCATTTCACAAAGTCCAACACCAATTCATCATAAAAACTCTCAACAAAATAGGAATAGAAGGGAAATTCCTCAATATAATTAAGGGTATTTATAAAAAGCCAACAGCCAACATCATCCTAAATGGAGAGACTTTGAAAGCATTCTCCTTGAGAACAGGAACCAGAAAAGGATGCCATTTATCACAACTGTTATTCAACATTATGCTGGAGGTTCTAACCAGAGGAATTAGGCTAGAAAAAGAAATACAGGGCATCCATCTTGGTAGGGAAGAAGTCAAAGTATCTCTATTTGCAGATGATATGATCTTATGCACAGAAAATCCCAAAGAATCCACAAGAAAACTACTGGAACCAATAGAAGATTTCAGCAAAGTTTCAGAATACAAGATAAACGTACAAAAATCAGTTGAATTCCTTTACACCAACAAAGAGAATCTTGAAGAGGAAATCACCAAATCAATACCATTTACAATACCTCCCAAGAAGACAAAATACTTAGGAACAAATCCAACCAGAGACGTAAAAGACTTATACAATGAAAACTATAAGACACTACTGCAAGAAACCAAAAGAGACCTACACAAGTGGAAAAACATACCTTGCTCTTGGATAGGTAGACTCAACATCGGGAAATGTCAATTCTACCCAAAGAGATCTACAGATACAATGCAATCCCCATCCAAATTCCAATGGCATTTTTTAATGAGATGGAGAAACAAATCACCAACTTCATTTGGAAAGGGAAGAGGCCCCAAATAAGTAAAGCATTACTCAAGAAGAAGAACCAAGTGGGAGGCCTCACACTACCTGATTTTAGAACCTATTATACCGCCACGGTAGTCAAAACAGCCTAGTACTGGTACAACTACAGATACATAGACCAATGGAACAGAATTGAGAATCCAGACATAAATTCATCCACCTATGAGTAGCTGATATTTGACAACGGCCCAAAGTCCGTTAATTGAGGAAAAGACAGTCTCTTTAGCAAATGGTGCTGGCATAACTGGCTATGACAAATCCAATCAGTGGCTAATCTCTAAAATCTACAAGATACTGCAAAACCTCAACAACAAAAAGACAAATAACCCAATTAAAAAATGGGCAAAGGATATGAACAGGCACTTT